GGGAAGATAATTACCATATAACTACCTCCAGTAAAACGAGCAAGCTATATATCAAAATATATCCACCGGCCTCTGGCGTCAGGCATCCTTATGCATACTAGAATCGATCTAATGCTGGTGCATGTAGGATTTGGATTGCTAATTTAGAAGAGAAGCATTCATGGATGCATGCAATGGACCAACGACAGTGCATCAGGACGCATCAACTAACCGTACAAACATAATGTACATGACATTCTCCATACTACATGCGTACATATATATACTCCTTCAAAAAAAATATGTGTCCACTAACGAATCTGTAACACATAGTCCCGTCTGAATTTCCTAAAAAAAAGTACTCCTATCTAAACAAAAATACATACAAAGTCAGCAACTCCATAAATATCTCGTTTATATTATATATGCACAACAGTCCACCGTAGATACTACATACACCATTCTAAAATAAGAAGTATATTTCTTCATACTACAAGACACATATACTCCACCCTCCATAAAAAAGCATATATACTCCATGTTCTAAGAAATACATACTCCATACTCTTGGTGGTTCCCAATACTAAGTTCAAAATTAATATACTACATACTTTTTTTTCTTGACAGTTCATACAATATACTACATACTAAAAAAACTATATCTACTTCAAAAAGGTATACTACATACTCTCTGTGAAAAACAATTATATGTAGACATGCACATACTCCATGTGAAAATTTATAAATATACTCCATAATATAGCAGTATAGTAGTATGTAGTACATACCATAATTCTGAAACGAACTATAAATTACATACGAAATACTACTTTTTTGGCACACATATATATTTTGTGCATTCACGTAAAAGAGTATTAATACTCCAGCTTGGTGTTAATAATCCGTACTCAAATAATCAAATGCTTATACTTCACACTCCAATTTTACTTAGTAGTGCATACTCCATACTACAAAAGTTACATGTTAAAACTCCATACTACAGGTATACATGGGGAGTGAGTATACTCTATGCGGTTCTAAAAAAGACAATATATTTCGTACTATAATAGAAGAATCAAAAAAGAGTTATACGTTCCCATACTACCTTTTTCCAACAAGAAAAACTTGTTAAAAAAAGAGAGATAAATACGTACTCTGGATAAGAAAATTACCATCCATCTACGGTGCTTATCAAGAATAATCAGCACCACTTAAAGAAAAAGAATAATCAGCTTCACGTTCACAGGCTTATCCGATGAAAATATTGTTGTACGCACCCAAGATTGAGGAGATCGTTGCAACAGCCTGCCACCCGCTTGCCGGATTATTTCATAATAAAAACTGAATTAGTTTCTGCCTACTAAATTGCATTGGCACCCGTTAACAGTATCCATTACCCGGTTGATTTGATGCCACGTTTGAGGGACGGGAAAGAGGGACACGTGGAGGCCAAAGAAGGTGATGGTAACTACCACTGCTTGTAGATAAAAATTGTCATATATATATATATATATATATATATATATATATATATATATATATATATATATAGGTAAATTATATGGGACACCTAGGTGCCTGGGCACGTAGATGCCCGTTATAGTAAGTGATATTCATGGTGCGTGATGTACAATCCACGACATATGACTTTCCAAATTTTGTTTGCATGCACTATCAGTTCTAATAGGCAATTATTGCTTTCGAAAAATAATATTCTAGTACTTTCCTAGCAATGATTCCTTTCCTAAATAAAAGGGTATGTATATACACTTTGATTTTTTAAGGTATCAAATATGACAAAATAATACGAAATATCGTCGCAAATGTTTGTATGTATAATTACGACGTATATTATGCATTCTTCTGGTGTTTTACTTTTCAAGGTATCTAGTATTAAAAAAATTAGGGCCGGGTCACACTTTTTGGCGACTAATATTTTTTTCAAAAATAAAGTCATCAAATAATATTAAATGTAATCCTAATTATTTTTACTTTTACAAATATATATGATGCATGCTAATACCCACACGTGATTTTTAGTACGTACATGGACCTAACATATCATACCCGCATACCCTTTTTCAATACATGCATGCTTTGAAGATACACGCAAAACTAATATACTTTGAACGGTACATAACCCAAAAAATGATACACCATTTTTTAATACACGTAAAATATTTTGAGACATACTCGTAAATGATATTAGAGATATACCCAAAAATAGTACAATTTACATATACGGCAGATATTTATTAGGTATATGAAAAAGTTAGTACGTGACTAGGTATATGATTTTTATAGGTATATAAATTAGTACGTGACTAGGTATATGAATTAGTACGCGACTAGATATATGATTTTTATAGATATATAAATTAGTACGTGACTAGGTATATGATTTTTATAGATATATAAATTAGTACGTGATGAAGTATATGAGTTTTTATAAGTATATGAATTAGTACGTGAATTTTTATAGGTATATGAATTAGTACGTGACAAGGTATGTACAAAAAAAGTATAACCATCAATTAAATATGCGTAGCATGCATGAACCATTAATTGATGATTTTCTCTTTCTTGTTTAATGAGGGTATTAAGCATTTAGATCAAGCAATAATTCTTTCCTAATTAAAGAGTCAAAGTATATATATATACCGCGTTCAAAAAACTTATGCTTACTATCGGTGGGATCGGCCCGACTAAGCAGCTCAGTATGGAGTAATATATATTCCTGGCTATTGGCCCAACTGGCCAGTTCAGACTATCTTTCTGGGCTGGTGCAACTGCAAGCAGGCACGCAACATGGTCGTCGGGTCTGATCTCTCTCGGTTTCAGCGCCGAGATGTGCCGCGCACGGGCGGGCATGGCGAGGTCGAAATGATGGGGCGGCAATGGGAGAAAAGAAACTGCCCCAGCTAGTGTAGCTGGTAGCTAGCTAGGTCTTCTCCGGCCGGCCACGCGCCGGGGTCGGTACGGCGGCGAGCAGCCGATCGGCCCCGCTCCGGTCAACTCAGCGGCCGTCTCCGTCGGGAACCATCAGATCACTTGCCATCTTGGGAGAGATGTAGGGGCTGTTTGATTTATGACTAACTTTGTCAAAGATTGTCATATTTAAGGTTAGACAAGTTTGATCAAGTTAGGTGAGTGTTTCGTTCAAGCACATCTTAGGCAAGTCATACTTGGACCTCACATGACATATACACAAAAAGTGTGACAAAATTTTCTTAGGCTTGTCAACTTGTGGTTCTTATTTTGATGAACTAATCTTAATCAAGTTTGATAAAAATGTGTGGCAAAATGTGGCAATACTAATCCTAAAACCAAACAGCCTCGTACAGTAGCATCCCCCCTCACCCAGCACGTACTACGGCCCTCACGCTTGCGTAGTAGGCCTACGCTTCAGATTGAACCGTGACTCTACCTGCACCAGTCATCATCAGATAATTAGGTTAACCGGCAACTGATGCTGGTCAACGATTGACCGCCGGCGACAACGCTGCGGCAACCTGCTCAGACATGCTCGGATTTTCAAAATTTCCACATAAATGGAATGT